ATAGGACCCCATCGTCTCCCTGGAACTGATTGGGAATAACACACTCATGTTCTTGATCTGTCCTAGTCGGGGAGATCTCATCTTCTCCGATTTCGCCACATACCTCCCAATCAGCGTCCATTATACACATTCCACGCTCGTGGCTTTAAGGTGCGACCACCTTCAGCTCCATAACCGAAATTGTGTCTTATCACACCACAGGAGCCAAAAGGACTTAGACAGCGCCACGCATCATTGCCTGCTACAGTTATTGCAGTGTCGTCGCATTTCAAGTTGCCAAGCAGCCTAAGGCCATAGGCAACAAAGTCAAGTTCGTCTTGACATACTTCTTCATCTTGTTGACTCCATATATGATATCAAGTGGACGCTTGATATTATAGTCCATCAGATCATAGCCTGTTGGCTTCAGAGCGTTCACGAGGAAGTAAAAGCTCGACATCGTGCGTAACTTATCGCCTTCTGAACATCTCTTGGAGCTCCAGCTGACGCCCGACATACTCGATCACAAGGTGGACACTGCTCGATTTCTCAACGAGTGCTGAAAGAACTACAATGCACCAGGTTCTGTTTGTAAGTTGTTTATCATTCGACTTTAAAAACTCAATCAGCGTTATTTTTGCGACATTGCTCTTCACAGAAGCATGGATTATTGATATAACGACCAGCTGAACCTATAGTCTGGCTTCAGGCGTGGCGAGCTGTAGGATATTGATGTGCCTGGGCAACACAATACACTCAGTTTCATATTCCGTGGTCGTTTTGAGTCTCGCGGGCGGTAAATGTTTGGAGGGAGCGTTGTGATCATATTTGTATTGGGCTGACTTGCAAACATTTATTGAAGCGCACATAGCGTTTGGATAGGAGCATCATCTTGTGAGGTTTCGCGAGATCTAGAATTATGCATACAGTCATGAAATTTCAGGTTTGGCCAGTCGAGGCTATGTCATAATCATTCATATAACCTCAAACCATAGCCTCAACGCGCACGCCGTAGAAAGGTTCGGATGCGATAGAAGTTGGAATATTTGCCAGCATCGCTCTTTGCTTGGAACAAGTACTGCCTCGAGGTTGCCTCAAGGTCGCCTCGAGGCGTTGCCCTAATGGTTCTATATAAGTGAGTAAGCCCTTGTCGTACTTCCCTTACTCTTCCCTCCAACTGCTATTCACAATGACTCGGCAGAAAGGCAATTCATCGAGGATTTTGACTCAAGAATCATCCAGTCAAGCAGCAGCTCCCGGAAGCTCGGTACGTCGCATCACTTACTGCTTCACTCCACTTCAAACACCGACATTGACACACCCTTCGTCTAGCATCGACCCCGTAGCAAAATCGGACAGTTTCTCAAGAAGCTCAAGGAGGATGCAAAAAGATTTAGGAGGGTGAGTCACGAACATGCGCGATGAGCATCCTGGATCACCACTAAAATTGCAATAAGCGCTCGAAGGATTCGCGCAGCCAAGTCAGCCCTGCTCCTCCAAGTAGTGAACGTCTATCTACCCCAAATACCGATGTAAGTTCTCATATCTGCCCTATAGTCTCTGTGCTCTCTCTAAATGTTGATTGCCGCGCGGGTTCAGGCTGCTCCATCCGATGTGGAAATCGAGGCTGATACTGAATCGGCACTTCGGGGTGCACAAGAGGTTGCAAATCGCATGCATCCACTTTCAGGCCCTGCGATAACTGCAGCATCTGTCGTCGAAGGGGACCAGAGGATCTCGATGCTGCTGACGATTTCCAGGACACATATCTCAAACCCCTCAAGATATTCGACGACGTTATTGAAGATCGCTGATGTATGGTTCCTCCTCTTGATCGGAACCGAACTAATCTAGCTCACAGTTACATCCATATGCAAAGATGGCACTGGGCGTGTTGTCTTGTACCGCCAAAGTATGTTTTCCCTTTTTCTCTTCCTATCCCTCATAGCTCAGCAATTATTTGCACAGATCATTCTAGCTCAAACGAATCGTGACGCAGCGGTACTCAAACTTCTGAAGAAGTTGTGCGAAGTTTACGACTTCATAACACAAGACGGGAAGCTTGACCAACAACTGTCCATGCGCGCTACTAGTGTTCTTGGAAAGATTTCTAAGCAGATACGTGAATGCGCCAATTTCATCAGTAATTATTCGGAGACCAGCAACTTTTGTGAGTGTCACTTGCGACTGCACTCTGCACTATCTCAAGCTTCTATCATCATCACAGGGAAGAGACTCGGAAAGAACATCGCCTCGGAAACGACAGATACGATCCAAAAGTACAATGACGTGTTAGATGGGCTCATGGACAACTTCCGGCACCAAGTTTTGCTCGATGTAGCCGTACGGGTCGACGACATAGACATACAGGTCCATCATATAGGTAAGGATTTGGATGTCCTTGGTGACTTGACATATATTCATACCTTTCCAGGACAAATACTGGAGCTCAGCGGTATGACCTATGCAGAGGGCGCGGGACTCGATACCAGGAAAGAATGCCTACAAGGAACGCGCACGGAAGTACTTTCTGACATTACGAGTGGGTCAACAGTACTGGGGACAACGTTCCACGCGTGCTGTGGCTATCTGGCCCTGCAGGCAAGGGAAAATCAGCCATCGCACACACCATTTCTAAGTGGTTCAATGACGTGGGAGGGCTTGGTTCGTGTTACTGTTTTGACCGCCAGCGAGAAGCAGATCGTCGCCATGAAAAGATTTTTCCACAA